CAGGGCTCTGGATGCCAGGGGGCAAGGTGGAGACCAGAGGCGGGCAGATCGCGGTGCCCAGGACTCGCGGGAGACCTGGGAGAGTCACTTCCCACCTTTGGGCATCCCATCTGTCATACGAGAGGGTTGGACTTAATGATGCATCCCTAAGGTCTCCTCCAAAACTAACGTTCTGGGAATCTTTTAGGTTGCGGAGATGAGGCAAAGGATGTTACCCAGGGAGGGGATTACGATCCCCTGGTGCATGAATGCAACTCTCTTTGAAGATCTGAAGGCTGCTCACCTCCCCTGGCTCCTCTTTGGTCCCCCATCCACAGCAGCTTGCTTTCATTTCCTCCAGTTGGCCCAAATTCCTCCTGCCTTGGGGCTCTGGCTGATCCCTGCCGCCTGGGACACTTTGCCCCTTCCTTTTCCCCTGGCCAGCTCCCCCAACCTCCCTAGAGACCTTCCGCCCTCAGAAGATTTCCCCTGTCCACGGTCTTCTTAAACAGTCTTGCATAGTTGTCACTGAACAATTCAATTCATGTATAGTGCTGGCGACCGCCTTCCTGGTCCTGTGGGCAAGGGCCTGTCCCCCTCGCTGCTGTGTCTTGGAGGTGCTCGGTCCTTATCTGTGCAATGCTCGCCATCCAAGCAGGATCAGCACTGCTGGACATGGCGCTCGCCTCCTATTTACCTGCATTGACCTCAGGGTGACTCAGCGCTCCATTCAGCAAAGCTGTCTCCTGCCAGAGCCCTTACAATTTCTTAGCTCCAGGCGGAGACAGGCCGCAGATGGCTTAATTTAGAAGCATCTCAGAAGGAATTCCTTGCTCCACAGCTCTTCCTCCTCAGGATCTGGGGGTCTGCGAGGTTGTGACCACACAGGGGCTTGAGGCCTGACTCGCAATCAGGCTCTTCAGCTGGGGCTGTGCTGCTCTTTTAGGAGGGGGACCTACATGCGGGATGGAAGCCACACCTGCTGGCAGTGACTTCTCCCAACTCACTTAGTGGGCATTTGTTAAGAGACACTGGAGCCTAGTTGAGGAAGAGCTGGGGGGTGCTGATGGGAGGTCCTGCAGCCCTGGCTTCAACCTGTGAAACCCAGGACAGGTGACTTGACCTTCTGGGACCTCTGTTTTCCCATCTGTAAAATGGAGACAGTGAAGGTGCTGACCTCACTGGGCATCCTGAAGCTTGTGACATTCCTATCCAACACTGCTGTTGACGAGAAGGGGCTGGAGATGCCAGCTCTGGGCCTCTAGGACAAATTTTGCAGAAAGGCGCCTGGCTGCTTGGCCTTCAGGGCTGGAACTCTCTTTTCCATAGACTACTGGTTTTTGGCCTGAGATTTGGGGATTTTGTGGTTACAGAGTAGGCCCCATCTCCCTTCTCCTCCAGGTCACATTCAAGTCCCACCTGGCCTGAGGAGTCTTCCCTGATCACCTGAGCCGGGTGGATTCTGTCCTCTTCATTCACTGCTCATTCCCTCACTCATTTCCCCACCTGTTCACCCACACAACATTGATTAGACACTGGGGTCCTGCGTGGGATGGGAGCAGACCCCCTCCGCATAGCACTTCCAGGCTAGGCACGTGCTCGAGCTCCCGACTCTGAAGTGGCAACTCCATGAGATTCCAGCTGGAATGGGAATCCATCAGCATCACAGCCCACGCGACATGCTTTCCACCACCCCCAGTGTCAGCCCCTTGCTGTGGAGAGCACAGAGGTGCGGAATGTGTGTGCTCAGTCACTGGGTAGAGCCTCCCATGCCAGAACACCCCTCAGGAGACCAGGGGGAAATGCATCGTGGGAGTCTGAGGTGGAAGGGGTGTGTGCTTAGCAGTCCCTGGCTCATGGTAGGTGCATAAATATTTTCTAGGTGGATGGATAAATGAGTGTTTCTGCTCCAGTGAAGTTCCTAAGTAAACAGAGATTGCAAAAAATAAAACTTCTGCTTAGGGTTCTCTTTTGTCCATGTGTGGTTAAGTTGAGCAGCTCCTTAGGGCTTCAGTGCTCCTGCTACCTCCTTGAGAGATGAGATGGGACTGAGTGCTGATGAGCCCCCACCCTCAGTACCCCCCATCAGCACACCCAACATCAGCACCCCTCATCAGCATCTCCCATCAGCATTTTCCATCAGTACCCCCCATCAGCATCTTCCATCAGCACCCCCACCATCAGCACCCCCCATCAGCATCTCCCATCAGCACCCCCCACCACTCCTGCATGCCAATCTGCACAGGTAATGGGTTGAGGGCCGTGCTAATTTCCTGTGTTTGTC